TGCAGTAACGCCCAAAACACAACTTACTTTCAACTAGTCAACAGCATGTTTTCTGATGTGCATACGATTTGCACCATGGTGTATTTACACAGATATATGATCCACTTTAATTGAATTTCTTTTAAATTCGCCGAAAGGAAAATGTCCTTTAACAGGCATTTATATCTGATCATTCAATAGCAATTTCATTTTCAGTTAAAATTTCTTTTTTCTATCTAGTGCTGTTGCTTCAGTGAGATTGCTGTTGCATTTCTAATGTTGTTTTATGTTAATCTGTCCAACAAGCAAAGATCCAGAGTCTGTCACACAGACGCTGACAACTGGGGTTAAATAATATTGAAAACTGGAAGATCACATCCATCATCCATTCATTGTGACCCCTGTATCTTAGTTAATATAGGAACTGCTTTGTTTATGATACTTGCATTAATGTCTTAAAGCTCAAGGGAAATTATTTTATTTATGGCAAAATACTATAGAGCAGAGGACAGACAGGACTGGACCCCACTTCAACAACCACTGGCCTTTATCTCCTATTTTGTCTCATGTTTTTTTTGCTGTATTTGTTTTCTTTTTCTCCCTCCTACATCTCTATTTCTTCCCACAATTCTCTCTTTCTCTTGCACTGGTTCTCTGATCTCTCAATACGCAGACGTGCAGGACATTGGGAAGATAATTCATAACTTGTAAAATCTGATAACTGCTTAAAAAGGGAGAGCTGGCTGGAGCATAAGGTCTGGGCTTATTTAAGAGCCTATAAATGATGCGCGGGGCGACCTTTCAACTCTGCTGACCTTTGACAGCAGGGCGACGTTTCAGAGATTATCTTCTCCGCTCTGCTCTTTCCACGTGGGTGAAAGACGAGAGGAGTGTGTGCGCAGATGTGCGCCGAACACAAGTGATTCACAGCTGAGGACACACTCTCAGAGAGACTAGGAGTGCAGTCAGTCATGCTAAGCCCCGCTAAGGAAAGGTGAAGCCTGTTATTTATCAGCGTCGTGAGGTTTCACCACAGTAAAATGTGCACAGATAGAAAACCGCAGAAGACAAACTACACAACTATATTTCAAACCTGAGAAGAAGAAATGCCACGTGAAAAAGAAAAACAGTAAAGTCTTTTTAATTCTACCGACGTGTTAAACTATGCGTATAAACTAATACTGATCCAACAGCTGATGAGAGAATTTCACAGTGCTTAGTGAAATAAAGAGAAAGGGAAAGTTGCATTATTACCCGACTACTCAGTGGTCTTAAGTTGGACCACACCCATCTTCGAACTCGGCCTTCAGTTTGATCTCAACTACACACCTGTGAAGTTTTGTGAGTGTATCTCGCACGGTTGTGACGCTACCACAGTCACAAAATCTGACAGACGGACAGACAGACGGACAGACGGACAGACAGACAGACAGACAGACAGACATATAAACACCTGCCAAACTACTCAAAACCAACTCTTTGCCTCCGTCTCCAGGACAACATTTCGCCATGATGATGATATTCATGCGATGTCTACATACATGAATGAAAAAAATCTGCATCTATGTATAGTACAGTATTATAAACTGAAAATGAAAATGCAGTTAAAATGTTAATTCGTTCTAACAAAGCTCTGTTCTGGTTCTTATTATAGAAAAACATACTTGGACAGTAACACAGGTTTAAGGTTTAAGCTTTATGAGCGTATTTTCAACAACAGCAAATGTAACGCTGTCTCAGTTAACAAGTTTCATCTTAGCATCCACACAATGGATGATCCTGACTCTAATCTGTAATCCCACAAAATAATGTAATGACACACTCCTCGGCCTTAGAGGTGATGGTAGTGAACTAGTTACGCTAACATTAGCAGGTTATGTCTGAAGCCGCCTGATTGCAGTTGCTAAGATATGATTGGTTATGACTGTCCTCATCAAAACAGGAACAAACGACTTAAATTTCACGTTAAATCGAAAGAGAACGACACAGAAAAGCTCCGAGCTACACAGCACAAGGTGAGTGAAGAGGAGCAGAATCTGCTCTCTCCATAATAATCTGCTCATTTAAGAGTTTTTACGGGGCCAAAGGAGCAGCTGCACTTCTTCAGTTTAAGACTGCAGAGTACACTCAGAGTGCCAGGATTGCACTCAGCCTCCATCTCAGCAGACGTCCACTGCGCCGTTTAATACGACTTCCCGGTCAGATTTACTGTGATGGCTTTTGAGGCAAAGAGGTATAATATGACAAAACATGGCCCCATAACCCTGGGATATTCAACAATGTTTAGTGGTGAGACCCATTTAGCTGGATGATTGGCAAATATATTGCTCTCCTCCTTTCTCATGTACAGAATTTCAATAAAAAGGGGCAGTAAATCAGGACTGAATTCAAACTTGTGACTGCTCTTTTACTGTATCAAGGCCTCTGGATATGAGCCGGGGCTAACTGTAGTTGTGGTGTGTGTGTGTGTGTGTGTGTGTGTGTGTGTGTGTGTGTGTGTAGATGTACTGCTCCGTATAGTGTCTTCATGACTGCTAAGTAGGTGTTATCAGTGCAATGTTAGTCTGTTGAGACTTGAGTTGAATAGAGTGAAACAAAAACATATATTTACTATATATTGGGCACCACCAATAAAAGTCAGCCTATCCTATTGTTTTGTAGGAATACAACCGATACGGCCGGTGATACAGAATCATAATGTGTATGTATATATATATATACGTCTCGTCTACAGTGTTTTTTTCCCATGGTGCCAACCTCAGAGGGGGTTTATTTTAACATCAGATAACACACACGACCAATACACCGTGTGCTGGGGGACACATTGATGGAATGTGAATGTCAGCGGTCTCTTTATTTACTCTCTATATAAAACACTGAGCAGTAATTAACAGCAGGTTTCCTCCCTAGCCAGAGGGTAATTGACTGTTTCAAAAAGGCAGCACTTCATAACCCAGAGTGTGTGCATGTGTGTGTGTGTGTGTGTGTGTGTGCGTGTGTGTGCGAGAGAGGAAAAAGACAGAAACTGTAAGTGAGAGAGAAACCACACGTGTATGTGTTTGCATACGCGAGTGTATTAAAATTAACTCCTTTATATTCCACCCCCTCCCACACCTCTCCTCCCCTCCCCTCCCGTCCTCCCAGTAAGGATAAGGGTCAGCAGTGGTGGGCACAGCCACTCAAACGCTCCAGATTTCTTTATGAGCGCATTAACATTCAGGCGTATTCATTATCAGTAAGTGTAGTAAGATGGGCCAAGCTTGGACCTCGTGCCACCATCAAAATATGTGCGCTGTTAATTTTTGTACGTGAGCGGAATTACAAGAAACTTCCCTATCCCTGTCCTATATCACGGTTTTGGAAATTTACCAAATAAATAAATGAGTAAAATATTGATTCTGAATATTGAAATGCTAAACTGAATAAAAAAAATAAAGAAAATTGGTGAAATAAGTTTGTTCTGTCTTCATCATTTCCAATTGACTTTCATACTCATGCATATGACAGCTCTGCCCTCCAGTAAAGTTATATACAGTATACACAGTACGTCCTCTGCCACAGTTCAGGTGGGAACAAAGCAAACGACAACCACCACATCTGGACGGTGAACCAGCGCACACAAAAGGCAACAGCTGTTCCTGCGTACTGGCCACCAAGGTGACTCTGTCCTTCACAGCGGTGTTGTGAAATTCATCCGTCTGAATACGAATCAAACCTTCCGGTGCTGCAGGTCCCAGTGAACAGGACTAAGGGGCAACTGAGGAAAACGTCTTTCACACAATCAAGTTAACACTAAAGAAGTCCGGATGGCCCTGCTGTTTGCTTCCCTGCGTTCTTAGACCCTATAAAGTCTTGACACAGAGCAGATCAGACAAGAATTAGCTAACCAGCTAACTTTGTGACTTTTAAAACAAAAGGATTTCAACGTTTGTTCATATTTTAGACAAAGTTAAGTCTGAATTTTCTTATTTTTTGAAGGCTGAAAAGCTGTGGTTTTTGTCTCCGCCCATTGAGGTTGCAGTGAAACATCTGACTGGGCTTATAACAGATCAGTCTGCAGGATAACTATCCTGACTGACGGTAAATTTACAGTCATCCTACTCATTCATCAAACCTGCTAATCAATTATTAATTAAAGACCATCAGATACGTGCTACTGTACAAATGTAGCAGTCAAACTAACGAGGAGTGGAGTGGCTGCTTCATGCTCACATGGGGCCATATGTTCTTTCCTCCATCGTCCTCACAGGGAACATAAAGTTAACGAGAAGCTTGTTAGAATCTGTTAATTGGACTGTATGTTCGCTAATTTAGTTTTTGTTAATTAGGGTTAAAAGGGGTTTGCGCTAATTGTTATCTCTTAATTTATGTTAATAGGTGTTAACGGACTCTGACCAGTTGTGTCCCGAGTTGTAATTGGCCCAACAACAACAGCGGCGGCGACACAAACAACACGGTGTCGACCAAAGGTGCCTCACAATTAGAGCTCCTCTGAGACATGCAACCCTGATTGGCCATGAAGCTAATTATTGTTAATTAGCATGTTAACTGGCAACAGCTGCTTATTTATTTGTCTTTTTACTGTGAAATGCATGACATGCTGCGAATACGATTCCAATAAACCGAATGTAAGACAAGGCGGTTTTGTTGTTTCAATAAATTTGTCCTCGACTTTAAAGGACAGACGGTGATTTGCAGGTATTTATGTGTCAAGCTATGTTGTTGCTCAGTGAAGGGAGGGACGTATTGGGGTTAAAACCAAATGTACTACTACTTGATAACACAGCTCTGTCTAACATCTTTTATATTGATTATTTGGAAAACTGTAAACCGACAACTGATGTAACTGACAACTTCATTAAAGCCGTCAAATTAAAAGCAAAGCTGAATGTGAGCCAAATGTTTTATTTTCAGATATACAGTGTGATAATGCAAACATGTCAACACTGCTTTTTAAACATAGAACCGGAAGTTAAAGATCAAATCTTATAAATAAAGCAACATAGACGGACATATTAACATCTCCTGCTTACCTACAAATACACAGCAACAACAAATGAACAGAGCATCCGTCCACTCGAATAAAAAGCATTAATTTGTCACAGTAATGTCAACAGGCAACTGGCAAATAACTTTGCAAATAAAACATATAATCTGTGAAGTAAGATCCAACCCTACAGTTGAAAGGAACGAGTAATCCACCCGCATAGTTAAAGTGACAGAACATCTAAACTTTTTCAAACTGTCAATCTCAGAGCTGCGAAGCCGGGTCCCCTTAAATACAGCGATAAGTTTGGTGGTTTTAATCGTCAATCCTTCGTCTTTTGGGCAGACGGAGTCTCTCTGTGTTGAGGAACTGTTCAATTTTGGAGATCTGAGCTCTGAATGATGACTGCTGATCTTCCCTCTCCTGAGAGCAGCAGGGTTCCCCGTCTGCAGCTGAGGGAGGAGCGCTGCTACACCTGGAGGAAGAAGATACTCAAATGAAATCACCTTCCTATCATGTTAAAATAAGAAGTTAAGACTGAAATTTGCAGCAGCTGGCTTCGTTTTTGGTTGTGAAATAGTTAAATATTGCAAATTCTCTATCATCTTGTTAATTTATGGTTTAATCTAATCACTTTAGTGAATCATGAATTACCAAGGGCGTTACCTGGCTGTTCAATGACATTTTAATTCAGCAAGTCAGATAAATGTGTATATACAACATCACAATGCCAACTTTAGACGATCTGCAACCTTTGTAGTTTGAACATCATTTCGAATAACGTCTTCCTGGAAATGTGTGAAGTTCAGGATTTTGGCTTTAAGTAAATTTGAAATAAAAACTATGACCACCAAACACACAAGTAGTTTGCACTGTAGTGCAAGCTGACAATACATGAGGCTCTTTAGCTACTGAACTCTGGTGTATTCAGCATGAACCTGTCGCCCCAGCTCAGTCTGCACCAGCTGTTTCAGTCTGTTTGAGAGTGTGTTAAAAAAAAAAAAAAAAAAAAACACACAGCTTCCATTTTGGTGCAAACAGTGACTTTAAGGTAAGAACATCTACGGGTTCACAGACAGGGGTTTACCCTTCATGTACAAGTAAGAATAAAGGGGACTTACCCTGGAGTGACCTGCCATGACAGTTCGCTGACTGAGCCGGAGGAGGTAGACGCTGGAAAAGAACTGATCGACAGAGATGCTCTGCTCTCCTACATTGAAATAACACCAAGTAGTAGATCTCAAACATCTACTGTGAAACAGAAGTGTTTGCTTTATATTTAGCCTGTGAAGAAAAAAGTTATTTTCAAAAGCAATTTCATTCTTTCTCAATACTCGGTGCCTCCTGAGGAAACTGAAAATTCCTAATAAAAATGACATGAAGCAATAAACAAATGCAGGGCAGACAATAACCAGTGGCAATGATATGTAACAGTATCCAGCCAAGAGAAAGTAGCCAGGCCCAGGCTGAACTCTGTGTGACATTCCCAATGTTCAGAGTCTGCAGAAAATGAAGGCTTTGGCCTTCACTACAGTTTGTTAAACTATCAGACCAGTTTTTTTCCTCATACTCAATGCATGTTGCACTCTATCTCCCTCAATTGCCAGCACCTGGATCTTATAAAACACAGAGTGACAGTTTGTGGTGATGGTGACAAAGGAGAGAATGAGAGTGTGTGAGAGAGAAACAGTGAAACGCAGGATGAAAACGAGAGAACTAGCAATAGAAAGGAGAAAGTGAGTGAGCGACAGATGATGAAGTGAGAGAGGAAGCGAGAGAGTGAGGAGATGGATAAAGACTGAGTAAGTGAGAGAGGAGAGGTACCCAAGCATCATTAGCTAGATTTCCTTCCACAGGTCATTCATTCTTTGTCTGTCTGGCTGTCTACGAGACATCTATGAGTTCAACATACATCAGCTTCATCCTCTCACTCAACACCTGACTTCAACATTTGTCGAAGTGTTATACTTCTCAGATATTCTGCACATTGTGTTGGATGTGTTGGCCCGAGCTAATATTAGCTTGCTCTTACATTCTGTGCTTTTTGGATCACAAAAATGTTGAAAAAGCAGCGTAACGTCTCGTTCTTTACGAGGATATGTCAGTTTGATATAGAAGACACATTTGTAAAGCTTTAGCACAAATTTCCCCCGGGGTCCACTCAGACACATTTTTACAAAAAGGTCAGAATCTGTAGAACAAAAAAAAAAAAAAAGACCTCAAACCGATTTATCTGATAAAGAAAATATTTTCATTCTAACTTCCTCTGAGGCGGGTCATATGTTTCTGTGTGAACATCACACCGTGGCCATTTCCTGCTGTACAACGTCGAGTCGCAACGCAGAGCAGCATCGCGGTTTTTGCTGTGATGATACGCGGACGTGACCCCCAACGGCTGAAATTTAATTTCCCACATAGCTCTAAGTTGAGATCACACAGTTAGGAATCATTAATACATTGCGTGATGTGTGTGAGAGAGTAAATCATCAGTGCTGCTCTACCTCTGCTGCCCGTCACATCGGGATCGGTTTTAAAGTAGCCTCTGTTTCATGTACTTGTTGTTGTTTGGTGTGTGTGTGTGTGGCGTTATAAAAGTTTGAGCGTCAAGTTTGTGAGTCTGCCACTGATATAAACAAACCGTGTCTGCCGCTGCCGTTGTGTCTCTGCAGGTCTCCCCCAAAGCTTTCCACTCTCCCTGCTGGTGTCTCGTCGAGGAAGCTGCGTTCCCAGAGACACTGGAGGCATTCAACAGATCCGACGCCCCGGTAATCACCGAGGGGACTGAGAGGAATGAGGTGAGATGGCAAGAACAGCAAGAAGGTAAGAATGAATGATGATTGGCGATGGTATGAAATACAGATGTACAATGAGTTCACTATATAAGAGGCTCCCAGTGGAGCAGCGGAGCAGTACTACAATGTTCCATAATTGTATAATACTTTTTTTTTACTGAATGGATCATATAGACACAACCATCACCTTTGCTGTGCTTGCTTTTGGCGAACATGGGCGTTGTGTTGAGAGAATGTCTGACGCTTCCACCAGACCATCTTGTATTTTGCTCAGATCCCTGAAAATGTTTTCAAGAGACAAAATTACCACTGGAAAAAAAAAAAAACACAGATTATACAACCAGAAGTAAGTTTGATTTGTGTTTTAACATCTCAGTTTACTAATTAAACTACCTGGATTTTATTTTGTTTTGGCCAATATTTCTATTACTAACAACACATGATCAACAGCTGAAGAAAAGGCTGCAGTTGCCCAGTAAACAAAGCAACGAGTTTACCTCAGTTTTATACATTTATGATCCTACAAGACTCTCTTGATGGCCTTGAAATGGTAATACCTCGGTGATTTATATACCTGAACAAACTGATGCAGGACCGAGACACAACTGAACGACGACCTGGGTCCAGTTTGGCGGACAGACGGCTTCAAATAACTTCCACTTTTATGGGTCTCTGCAGCTCTTTCGTCTTCTATTTTGTCATTTTTCATACGGTCCCGACAGCTGCCGGGCTCCACCTCCGATTCCACAGCGTCCGTCACGGTATCAGCACGGACATCCTTCAAGTTCGATTTTCCCTGGACAGTCTCGCTTTCATAGTTTTCTTCTGTGTCCAGATTCGACTGACCTTGGCTCTTCTTACATGCACTAGAACCATCATCATCATCATCATCATCATCATCATCATCATCATCATCATCATCAGGTACCAGACACTTGAGGTGTCCGTTGTCTTGCTCCGACATGTCCTGACTTTGAGATACTTCAACACATTCTTCCTTCACATGTTTATCACGCATTTCAACGGTTTGCTTCATGTCGCTGGCAAAGTCAGAGGGATTATCAGATGCTTGTGTTTGTGTCGTCTCTAACTCCTGGACACTGACGATACCGTTTGTTTGAGCAGGTAATGGTACCACAGCCGATTCGTCCGTTGGCTTCTCCTCTGCGGTTTTCTCAAACACCTGGTGGCTAAGTGGCTCAGCATCTTGAGTTTGGACCTGATCATGACACAGGTTTTGCACTTCACTGATGGGATCAGGCCCGTGATGGACACTATCATCACAACCGAGGGTGAGGAGCACCTGTCCTTCTCTCCCAATCCCACATCCTTTGTCCGCATGGCGGGAGTCGGGATCCTTCTCGGTGACTTCCTGAGAGAGACTCAGTGAGCAGCCTGACGGCTCACAGACAGCCGGCGGTGACTCAGTGTCCGTGAAGTCAACGACCCGCCGCGCGTTGCTCTTCTCGATAGTCGTCTGGGTCAGTATCTGCGCTTCTGGGGTTTCTGATGTGTGTCCTGCTGTCTCTCCTCTCTCTGCTCCATCTGTCCCATCTCTTTTTTCTGTCTCAGGGTTTCTGGTGTCCCCTGCTTCCTCTGCTGACCCCTGGCTATCCTCGTGTCTGTCTGCTGTATCCGTTGTTCGGGCCGTGAACGTTCCTCTTTTTTCTCCAGCACTTCCTTCCTCCTTCACATCTTCTCCTTGGACCTCTTCTCTATCCCACTGATCTGTATTTCTTTCCTCTTCCTTTCTGTTGTTCTTTTCTTGTCCCCCATCGTCCTTCCCTCCATGTTGTCTGTCCCTCATTCCTCTGTTCCCTCCGTCATTTTTTTCTTCGCTCAGTGAACCTACAGATCCGTTGATAGACACGTGGTCAGGTCTTGATACAGATGTAGTGCCACTCTCACAGCTACCTTTGCTAATCATGAGATCATTATCAGACACAGAGGACGTAGTATTAATTAAATCTGAAACTACACCAGGATCACTCTCACTAGTCTTAGAGTTGCCGTCATTTCCTGTTTCTCCAGACTGAATGCAGGGGCTGAAAGAAGATCGTTGATGGTGGTTTAGATCTTCTTGTCCTGAAAGAAAACACAATGTACATGTTTCAGAAAATCTAATGTTTTTCATCTGCTTGTCAAATTACAGAACATTGGTGAAATGCCGAACTCTCGTAATAGGACAAGTAGCAAAATATGTTTCTCTACTGTGTGTTTATATTTAGCTGGCTGACCTCCAGTTGCTCCAGTGGCATCTAGATTAGTCACAGCTCCTGTGTCCTCAAGACAGTCTGGGTTTCTGGTCTGAGCCGAGGCCAAGTGCTGCAGACTGCCAAAGCCAGGCAGCTCAGAGCTACAGATGGGTTCATTAAGAGGGAAGATCTGGGTAGAAACACTGAGGCTCTGACCTCTGTTTCTCATCTGTGTAGAAAAAAAAATTTAAAACGTCACATGCTTAGTATCAACCAGTGCTGTTATTTCACCTTTGCACCTCAGTTTTAGCTGCGGCCTAATTCACCCGTTTATTCCCACTGTGGAACATGGACGAGAGAAATTTTTGGTGAAAAAACAAAACAAAAAAAAACAAGCAAACAGAAATAGCTCAGTTTGTTTCCTAACTGTGTTTGCATGAAGCCTCAACACTGTGGCGCCCTTTACTCACAGGGATTAGGCTACGAGTTGGTCTGTACTATAGACAAAGTATATACTAAAGAATGGAAGTTGTTGTCATGTTCCCTTACTGTTGTCATGCAGACTTTATTTACTGAGACTGTTTGTAATTAAGTTGTTTTATTATTATTTAGCCTTAATTGTCTCTTAATTACCCAGTTAGCTTTCCAAAGGCCTCATTTAGACTATATAGTATAATAGTATACATTATAATTCAATTCTCTGGCCTATTTACATGATATTCATCTTCATATTAAACAATTAAATCAAGGTCCAGTACGTCAAAATTAAGGAACCATCTTTGCTTCATTTTAGCCTTTTAGAAAATGCTGGCTAGTAAAAGTTCAAACGTAACTGCGATGACACACGTACGTTTGTGTGTGTACCTCTAATTCAGATATGTGCTGTGCCTGCGCTTTGGCCAATGAGGACAGTTCGGTGTGTTTCTGCTGAAGCTCGTCATAAGCTTCCCTCGCTGCTCGAAGGTCTCGCTGCTCACTCTTGATACAATCCAGAAACGTTTTCCTCTGTTTAACACAAACACACAAAGACACACATTAAAGACAAGATGTTTCAGTATGACAAACAGCAATGAATCACTTTTTGTCTTTTCTTTTTTGACATTACAATTTGAGCTGACTGATGCTTTTGGTAAATAAAAAATGACACTATTACACCGCCTCGTCTCACAACTAGTTTTTCTTCTACCTCTTTGTCCCAGCCGGTCTTGGAAGCGGCGTAGCTCTCCATCAGTTGGACCACCTTGTCTTCCATTGCCTTGCTTTTGTCTCGCATCACCTCGTGTTCCTGCTTAAGGGCCTGCAGTAAAATTAATCACCCATAGGATTTTTAATGCAATACTAAATTTTTATGTGTTTATTTAACGTGAACAGAAGGTCTTAAACAGGGAATGGAGAGAGAGGGCTTCTTGCTAATACAAATCAGTTGGCTTGTGACATTTTAATCCTGATTTTAATAATTTAATGAATGAATGGGTGGATTAAAAAGGAGAAGGGGGTACAGAGGGAAGAAAAGAGAACAATAAACTGTAAAGCCATAAATGGAGAATAAACACACTAACTATCATTCGGTTGCAGAGGGGACCATATTCACTAATGTACATATTCACTAATGTACATGTTATGATAAACAACATGACATTCATCACATTTATGAGAAGAATCGATGGTCGTCATTTATTTCTGTCCTTGTGTAAATTCACTCCATAATCATTTAAATGGAGCCTGAAAAATTCCTGATCTGTGCGGGACCAGTACTGTGGGTGGTGCAGGGAGATATATATATATATATATATGTATATACACATCACATTTCCTATCAATCAATACATTTTTAATACATCAGTTTAAAAAATAAACACTGTTGGATATGAACACCTAAGAAAGTTAAAAAGTGTCTAATCTTTGCACCATTTAAGGTTATTCCCTGGACATGAGCTGCTCAAAATGTGGGTGTAAATACACTGTTGCCCATAAAGTTGGAATAATTTTGTTTTCAGTTTCATTGTGGTTTAATTTTCATTGTGATATGTTTGGAAGAGATTGACTACTAAAGTTATGAGAAGATAAACACTTTATCTGTCTAGAATAAATCACATTGTCACAATCATTTCATGAAAAGAGGTGAAAAATATTTATTTATTTATTTAACTTTATGAGCAACAGTGTAGTTCCACTAAATCCACAGGTGCAAAACACAACACTGAACGAAACATAAGAATAGAGAAAACACAATATTTCAGAAAACGTAAAACAAGACACAACATATAGTGTTGAGCTGCTGTTTTCTGTTTTTTGTTTCAGTTTTCTGAAATGTTGTGTTTATTACTTTGTTAATGCTGTTGTGGTTTTGTTTTGTTTTCCAAGTTGTTTATGTGTTTTTTTTTTGTTTTTTTAAAGTTTCTGAAATTGTGTTTTCTGTTTTTGTTTTTTTTTTTTTGTTGATTTTTCAAGTTTGTTTGTTGTGTTTTATAAAATGTGTTTTCAGTTCAGATTCAGTTCATAAATCTCAATTCAGATGACAAATAAAGACACGGGGGAGGATGAGAAACTCTGACCTGGTACTGCTCTTTTTGTGTCTGCAGCTCCAGTTCTACTCTGTTTACCGTCTGTGTCTGACTCAACAACAGCTGCTGGGTTTGCTGCAGAGACCTCATTACTTCCTAAATAAACACACACATACAAACTCACAATATAATGTAGTTATCCATGATGAAGCCATACTATGTTACGGTTAC